TTTTTTCATGCGAGTTGCCTTGGCCACCTAGCGGCGCGACAGCGAACTAGTGTTCGCTCAGATACTCCTAGTCTGGTTAGGGACTCTTGTCACAGATTTCAGCAATATATCAGAAAGTTTTATTTATTATATTGCCCTGAAATATTGTGCAATATTTGACATAAAGACATCAACAACATTGCTGTCGCAATGAAATATTGGAATATTGTTGTAATGTTTTCGAAATATAGTGTGCTGTGTGGGAATACATTACATGTATAATTTGCTTCACGAAATCTTCTATCGATACACTGAGAAAAAAGTGTATCTGGATGGACAAAATCAGTGTTTGCCAATGTTTAACCGAATTTGTATTTAATATAACAAAAGATAATGGTTGACTCAAATATATTTTGGTCAGCCGATGCGAATAATTATTGAACAAACTAATTCTTTAGTTACAAAAATCAATAATTCTGTCGAACATCGGCAAATGCAAATTAGTTAATGCAACTATATATTTTTTTCAGTGTAGAATAAACGTTTTTTGATGTTTTATACGGCAGGAACAGGAAATAAATAATTTCAAAATTGGTTATGTTGATCGAGCGCATTCGATAGTAGCGACACGTAGGCAAGATGCCATACATTACAAAACTGCTTCAATATCTGTGTTACTCCCACCACTGAAATCCATTATAGTCGCAAGACCTGTATGTAAGACCGTGGTTAGGGCTCATTCAGACCGGAAGCAGCGGGAAGCGAGAAGCGAGCAGCAAGCAGCTTGAAACTTTAGAATAGAGTGGTACCTCTTTCCAACGTACATACGCATAGGCATATTGTGATTGGTCGTGATGTTAAATTGTAACAAAGGAGACTACATGCATATAACATACAACGAGGCTATACCACGTGCTACACACATTTCGTCTGACACCGAATTTAAAATTTATTTCAAGCATAAACTATGACGTGAAGTAAAGTTGCCATCATCATTTTGCTATGTCGCTGCTATGAAAAATTGAACGTTGTTCAAGTTTCCAAAATCACAGTCCAAGCATTGGAATCTACTTAGTAATGAAGTTATGTTTTAAGGGAAATTATGTATTACTACTTTTAATGTAGTATACTTGACTCCATACACTTAATGAAGGTGAAATAACTTATTTCTTCGTATTTTCATACGACTAGCTAATATAAAAAGGCAGAATTAAAGGGGTAAATTTTATACTCAATTTGTTCTCTCTCCAGATCTGTCAAAAATTTGCCAATCAACTTCAATGATACTTGCAAGATATCAAGGACGGCAATAATCCATAAGATGACATACACATTCAGATTACCAAAAAGCATTCTTAAGACGATAAACGACTTATTATGCACGAATATTTGATTTTTCATATAGATTCTCTTTTCTCGTTATCCATTGGTCTATACTATAAATTCAAAATATACCCTTTAAGTGCAAACGAATATTTAAAGTACTAATCGTGAATTTCGCGATTGGACCAGCCAAGTAGTACTCGATCCCCCAAAAAACACTTACGTGTAAAAAACTACGCCAAGTACAGGATTGCTGTGAATTCCTCTAACAAAAAGTATTGATATCATATTATTGAGGCCAAGTACATAAGTCACTACATGTTTTCCTATTATATGATCTAGCACTGGCCCATCATTTTAATTATATTTTCAATATTTCCTATAACGTTTTCGCTACTTTTTTATGTTACTACTGCTTCCCGTATTTAATTACGATTTAATGGTGATTTAATAATTAATAAAACTTAAGGTGATTCCTTATCGAGTACTACTTGGCGGGGCCGTGCCAGGAATTCCAAA